TTTTATTCTGCCACTGGCTTGATGAATGACCTTGCGTAAATCACATCCCTGTACCTCATTTTCAATTATGTAAATTAGGGATAAAAATTATTCGCCTTCTTGGAGTGTTTTGAGATGTACTGATGCACGGCTAGATGCTATGATTTTTAACACCTCACAATTAACGCTCCATTTCTAGTGATTTGATGCCACTATCAAAACTCCCACCACTTTCTGGGTGATGCCTCATGGGGTGGGGTTTAGGGATGGATGCTCACCTAACCAGGCAGGGGACAAAAAAATATGAGAGGATGCAAGGCTGATGAGCTGTCTGTGCTGTGGTAGTTACTTCATGTTTCAGAAAATGTGAAAATCAAAAAAAAATATATAAAATAAAAATGCAGTTAAGGGGCTGAGCAGTGCTGGTTGGTGGTTGTGAATGGCTTGGCAGCAGCAATCCTTCACTGGCCCTTGTGCAGTCAATGTCCCTAGCAGGAGGGATTTTTTTACTCCCGTGGAAACATAAGCACCAGTAATGACTACTATTATCCTTGATCAGCTGCTTCCAAAAGCAAACCAGAAGAGATATGCTACAGAAAGATAGGGATAAGAGGATAGTCAATGAATATGGCTGCAAAAAGTGGAGACTTCCATGGAAGTGTGTGTGTCCAAGCATGGATGTGGTTCTGCCAGCAGATTTGATCCCACCAGCTGTTCCTTTGCAAAGGAATAGTTAATATTCACTAAAACGAGGTCAGGGGCTGCTCACCAGGGACTGCCTGGTGAGCAGTGAACCCACCACACTTCTTTCACCCCATTTTTTTCTCCCATCCTCCCATGTTTCTGCAGGTGTCAGAATGGCTTCATATTTTGGGGGTGAGAACAGGCAAGCCATGGCTATTCCTGAGACAGGCAAAGCAAGCTTCTGGGGCTGCAGGCTGGTGTTTTAGTTAAATGAAGAAGTAATGTCATTATCTGTGTTTCATCTACCGCTTCTACAGTCAGGCTCAATTGTGCTAATCACTGCAGAAGCGGGTGACAAGGAGCTTACAATCCAACCTGTCGGATGTCAGGAAAGCACAGACTTCCAGCATCACCTGGGGAAAAGGAAAGAAGGTCCTGTGAGCACCATTCAGGTCTACACAGGGGGGTCCTTGCCCAGAATCACCCAGTGTCCAGCTTGGATCCTTTTAGGAAAGAGGATAAATGGGATAAATAACTGCTTTTTTGGACAAGGACGTTTGGGGAACAGAATATGTTTCCCTTCATCACACTAAATTATACAGAGTCAAGCAAGCAAAGTGTTTCTTTTTTTCCCCAAAGCTCTTCTCTTCCTCTAATTATATTTGAAATGTTTTGCATGCTATTGAAAATGTCACTTCCAGCTGCAGACCATTAAGGAGCCTATGTGGCACTACCATGGGTTTTATTAAGGCAGGTTGCTGGGGATTTCAATGGCTGCAAAATGAGGCCTGGGGTGAAATACCTTTTGTTACAAATGTTGAACACTTGTTTTGGTGGTAGGGGACCTTTCACAAAGGCACAGTGCTAGCCAATTTTTAAGACCAGGAAGGCAGGAACTACTCAGATATGTGCTATTTCTTCCCTTCTGCCCCAAAGCATTAGTGGAGGCAAGTGTGGTCCTGGTTTGTACTGGGGTCACAGCAGAAATTTGTGCAGCTGATGTTTTCCTGAGCCCTTGTTTTCCTGGTACTGATTGAGGTGCCAACGGGATACAAGCAGGTTTGCTCTGGTTTTTCTGCAAGCACCCGAAGCAGAGTGATGGAGCAGCTCTGGCTCTCACAGTGGATCAGATTCCGTGTCCAGGGCTGTCCTGACGAGCACTGCTGCAGAGATCCTTCAGTTTCTCCTTGCAGACAGGCTGTGTGAGCAGTGGTCAGGATATGGGAAAATCCTTTCACCCTTCTTTATTCACACAGAAAAGAGCCTTTCTGTCTCCTCTTCCTCTTTCGCTTATGCTGCTCTATAAACCAGCTTGGGATGGGGATTTTGTGACTCTGGGGTAGGAGTTTCCTTTGCTGTCATTGCTTAGGTGCTCTAGAGTCTCTGAGTCCACTGCAGAACGGACAGAGGAACACAAGGGGTAAACGGGATAATAGCCTGAAACCACGATTTCGTGACCTGGAAAGTAGTTCTGCAAACATGATTTGTTCTCCTTCTGGTGACGTGATGCCCAGCACACAGAGCCAGCCCAGCAGAGGGAAAGTCTCACATTTAGACTCTGTGCATCACTGGCTTTTCCGTTTTCTTTTCCATACCAATGCAAAAAGGAATTTTATATATACTTTCCCAATGTGAAACAAAAGAAAAACAATACCTTTTCTGGTAGAGCAAGATGCATTTTTCAGACATGGACCGAGCCTTCTGTCCCCACATCAGCTTTTAAATGGTGTCTAATGCTATGGCAATGAAACCCTTGATGTGTCACCACTCCTGGCACCATGGGATGTGGACAGGGTGGGGAGATATGCTGCTATGGACATATCCAGTACAGTTTTCACCTGGGGTGAGCTGTTTCTCCTAGATATGAAAAGCATTTAGGGATCCTTGTACAGGTCTCATAATCTAAGTTAAATCACTAACAACCAGGAAAAAAAAAATGAGAAAAAGGCAAGCTCTAGTGAGAGGGAAGAGAAATGTTTTTTTCTTTAAAGCAGACAGGAGGATGTTTAGGGACAGCTGTACCATTTTTCTAAGACTGTCCATCCAGTTCCTTGATTTATGTACCCTGTGCTGTAAGGGACACCCTGTTGGCATTTGCTTTTCATTGTTGGTCATGACAGAGCTCTTTAAATAGCCCAGAGCTGATAAAAGCATCTTTATGGGGAGGAGCTGGCTTTGTCCTCAACTCCAACATCTGCAGGAAAGTGCCATCTCTGCCTCTGGTAAAAGAGCAGGATTGTGTTGCAGCTTCATGGTGAGTATGGCTGCTGGCACCAGGCTGGAGAAGAGGGAGGAGGGCATGAGCATCTCACCCAGTCTCCATTCTGGTACTGCTGCTTACCACTGATCCTGACCCCATCATCTTCTTCACTGCTGGCAGCCAGGCTGAGATCAACAATTTATTCCATCCTGGTCTGCAGGCATTGACATCTCTCACTGCAAAAGGAAGGCATGTTTTCTTTCATGCTGTACTGTTGTCACCAAAGTTTTGATGGAAGCAGAGCAGCCTCCTGAATATCCTGCAGTGATGTTCATTGAACTTAAATGGAAAAGATCCTACCAAAAGATTACCAGCTGACACTGCCAACATGTGTAGAATAAATTTCTAAAACAGCCCCAAAGACCAAGTTGCTCCAGTCAAATCACAGTGGGACCCCTGGATAAATTCACAGAATTATAAAATCACAGAATGGTTCAGGTTGAAAGAGACCTTAAAAACAATTGTGTCCCAAACCCTGCCATGGGCAGGGACACCTTCCGCTATCCTGGGTTGCTTCAAGCCCTGTCCAACCTGGCCTTGGGCCCTTCCAGGTATGAGGCAGCCACAGCTTCCCTGGGCACCCTGTAAAATTAAAGCAGATGGAACCAAAGTCTTCTCACCAGTGTCCAGTGATAGGACAAGAATGGATGGGTTCAAACAGAAATGCAGGAAATTCCATTTAAAATAAGAAAAAAAATTTTTTTTTTTTCTCTGCATGGGTAATCAAACTCTGGCATGGGCCACCCAGAGAAGTTTGTGGAATCTCCATCCTTGGAGATATTAAAAACCTGGCCACACACAGCCCTGAGGAGCCTGCTTTAGCTGAGTTTGTTCTAAGAAAGTTGTTCTATAGTTGTTCTACCTTCCAGGCACAATGACACTGGAGTTCTGTTCCCCTGAAATTTAAGGGGTGAATGGGGGTGTTGGTTGGGGTCTGTGCTGTGTAGTGCTCAGTTTCATTTCCTAGCTTGGAGAAAGTTCAGGAAGCCAAAGTACAAAACAGCAATGGCTGTGAGGCTGGTAAGGAACTGCCAGCATATGGTGTGGAGGCTCACAGTCCACAGGAGAAGGGCAACTTGTTGACATAACTCAAAAATGTGCCATCATTTTCTATTCAAGGATAATGAGGATTAATTTTTGCAAACAAAGGAAATAGGCACACGGCAGTGAATTCCTGGAAGAGCGAGAGCCATTTAATTCTCCAGGATGTACATAATAAGCAAGTAGAGATGTCTCATCATGAACATAACCTTTTTTTTGTCTGGATAATAGCAGGACTTGAAAGTAAGACTGTTGGAACCGCCTGTCCCCACTGAGGTCAACAAGAGCTCCTGTGATTTTAACAAAGAAATCAGGAGAACATTCTCAAATGCTGTTTTCTTATTTTTAAAGTTGCTTTTTCAGTGGAGAAAAAAACAAACTGAACAAAGTAGCAAGCTAAAAAGGTACTGTGGCTTCTCAGAAGGCCCCAAGGGAGATGTAAAGTGACTTGGTCATCTGTGCTGGAACATCCATCACTACACTCTGTCCTGTTTTCACATCCAGTCCCAGCACTCATGGATTTACCCTTGTTGCTTGGCCAGGATGGGTAGTTTCCTTACATGTGCTGGCTGGCAGGGCCAAAAGAGGAAGTTGTATTTTCCTTCAAATCCAGAGAGGAGACCCTTAGAGCCTCTGCCTTAATGCTTGTAAGAAAGATGGGGACAAATATATTAGCAGGGCCTGCTGCAACAGGAGTGGCTTAAAACTAGAAGAGTGTCAATTTAGATTAGACATGTAAAGGAAGAAATTTTTTACAATGAGGGTGGTGAGGCTTTGGCACACGTTGCCCTGAGAAGCTGAGGCTGTCCCATGCCTGGAAGTGTCCAAGGCCAGCTTGGACAGGGCTTGGAGCAACCCAGGATAGTGGTTTCAGGTACAAATGTCTTATCCATGGCAGGAGAGTTGACCTTTAAAGGTCCCTTCCAAACTGAACCATTCCTTGATTTTATGATTTATAGCAGCTACATGGAGCTACCAAGGAAAGGTACCTCACCTCCTATGTGCAAACCTAGAATCCAAACCTCTTCTTTACCAGGAATTGCCCCAGGCTGGCACCTGGAATATATTGATGTGACGGACTCTGCCATGGACAAGACATTTCGCTTCCAGTGTGATCGCTGGCTGGCTAAAGGTGAAGACGACGGGCAGCTCATCAGGGAACTGGCCTGTGCCAATAATGACATCCTGGAGCTCAAGGAGAGGACTGGTGAGTTTGGAGTGCTCTTGTGCCATTTCCTGAGGGACCTCAGAGGTCATAGGAACACAGGTCCTGCAAGCTGCAGGTTCCCATGCAGGCCTAGGCTTTAGGGGTTATTTCATGTACGCTTTAGTTCAATAGTGCAGCTCTGTGATAAGAAAGGAACAAGATAGGATTGTTGGGGAAGAAAAAGATCTCATTCTGGGTTGAAACCTAAGAGGGACCCATCTGCAGTGGTTCAGTCCATCAGTAAGCCATGAGAACACATGGATGTTATCTCATTAGAAGTAATGTGCTTGAGTCTTTGAGGTGGAAAATAAGTTCAGCCCTTAAAGCCTGGTAAGTAACATTGCTCCAGCTTCCCCCTTAACTGCTTCTGGGCTATGAGCTTAAGTGTCCCAGCTGAACATAACAGCTGAGCTTAACAGCCCATGGCCCTGGATCTACTCTGGGTAATCCCACTGGGCCCAAGGCAATTACACTGGTGTCTGATGTGGTGGGTGATTCAGCCAAGAGTGACTTAATCACGTTGATGATGTGCAGAGTCCATCTCAAGAACTACTGCACCAGTGCTCTTCTTCAGGAGAATCCTGCAGAGACAATGATCACATTATTTCACTGTGATTGTGCCCTGCCCCTGAAAAAAAATCAGCCTTGTGAGGGTCATTTTGGCCCTCACATTTTGGGTACTTACAGGCCATGACTGCATCTGAGCACATCCTGTTGGGTACATGGACACCCTCATTCTGCTAGGAACCGTGGCACAAAGAAAAGAAAAAATAAAAAAATAAAGGAAAGAAAATATGGAGGATTTAGGGTGTGTTTGAGATTAATTGCTTAGCACAGCATGGAGCTGGAGACAGCTTGTTCAAAATGGACCTCAATCATCCTTGTGGGCCCCTCTAACACAGAATATTCTGTAATTCTAAGAATAACTCCATCTCTTCTTGCTACCCAGTTGAACAGGACTCATATTTTTCAAGTATTCTATCCCAAACCACTTAGAAGTCAAAAGTCCCACAGATTTCAGTGTGTTTCCACCCTTATTTTGCAAATGCTTGCTGTCTTGTGGGCTGTGATAAATATTAGGAAAGAGGTTTTTAAGCAAAGTGACAGTCAAATGAAGAGATCTTGCAGGCCATCTGCTCTTCCTTTTCTGTTTAACATGTGTGTTAATTATGCTTTAAAGCCTACGAGATTGTCACAGTAACCAGCGACAGAGAGGATGCAGATACAAAGGAAAACATCTGGATCATCCTAGAAGGGAAGATGGGCCGCTCAAAGGAATTCCTCATGGAAAACTCTTCCAAGAAAAGGAGGTTTGAAAGGTAGCAAAAAGAATGGGGGGGCCAGAGGAACTCCCCACCTGTTGTGTGTCCTCCACAAATGCCACTTCTTCTTGCCATGGGGAGCTGTGTTAGTGCCATGCCACATCTCATCCCTCTTCCCACTTGGATTACAGGGAAGATACCGAACGAGTTTCTGGGGGGCAGTCACAGAGTAGGTTTTAGAATAAGAAAAAGGCATTTGGTAAAAGGAAATGTTGATGTTGCATGTATGTGTGTGTGTCCTTTTGTATCAGTACATACAAAGAGGCTCCTGGCAAGCCCCCAGGGAGGCTGTGTGGTTTTTGAGCTGGGAGGAGCAGAAGGAAGCTGGGGGTGGTTTTGGTTCCTTTTACAGCATCTCACTGGCAATGGGAATCAGAGAGAAAGTAATAATAGTTGGAGGCTAAATGTTGTCAGAGCTCCTCAGATTTGACTTTGCAGGCGGATCTGGCAGGGGTAAGGCTGAGAGATCAGAGTCGCGTGAGGAAGGGCAGGAATCAGCCTCCTGCTGGAGGCACATCCATGGAACCTGGGGCATATTCCTTGTCCCACATGGCACCAAAGTGCTCTAGGTGTGAGCAGGGTTTTCTGCTTGTTTAAGGACACGGCACACCCTTAGGAGATGGGGACCTTGCCAAAGTCACGGGCACTGCTGATGTTAGGTTGCTTTGCAAAAAAAGCCTTTTCTGGTAAAGGAAGGTGAAATGATGGCTTATGTGGAATGTAATATGACTGAGACATCAAATGAAATATGAAAGATCAGGAGGAGCTTCTTGAGCTGATGGTGCCTATATAGGAATTAGACACCACTCTTCATTAGGCACAGTCTGTCCTTGGAGGGACCAAGGGCCAGTCCAAGGAAATAAACCCAACAGATACTCAGAAAACACAACAGGGATCCAGTCAGCACTTTGACAGAAAACTATCATGCCTGCCCATGGCAGAGGTTTGGAATTAGACAATCTTTAGGGTCCTTTCCAACACAAACCAATCTTAGATTCTGTGTTTTAATTGTTTCTCTGAACTATTTCCAATTTGAGCTTCAGGAAGGGTGGCTCAACTAGCAGATTTAAAACAGCTATGGTGGGTAGATGTGTAACAGATACAGTATCTGTCAAGAATGAATGAATAAGTGCTGGAGGGGAAATTAGTCATTCTTTAGCTTTATCTATAATGAGGCAAATTGATTTTGTATGTGGAACAGCTCAAGTTTATCCTAGAAAGTCCTAGTGGCAACAATTTAAAGTGTCACCCCTAATCAGGGAAAATACTAAATTTAAATATGGAAATTATACTTTGTGTTGAATGATTGTAGGTTAAATCAAATGACTGTAAATGAAGGCTTATCTTCTATCTTCCATAGCCATGTGCAAATTACTTAATGTCCATATGAGGCAAGTCACTGGCAGCCTCCAGGATGCTGAAACTGCTCTCTGCTTCCTGTAGGGGAGCAACAGACACATTCCAATTTTCTTCAAAGAATGTTGGGGATATTGCAGCCATCTGTGTTGGTCACTGCCCAAAAGATGGGAAGAAGTCATCTGCAAAAGCTGATGTCTTCTGGCATGTCCAGGAGATTATCGTGACAGAGATGGAGCTTTGCAACAAGTAAGTGCCTTCTCATCTGCAAGGAGCTGCCCTGGGAGGGCATGGGGGAGCTGAGCAGCTCTGCGCACATCCTCCTGAATCATTTCAGGCTTAAAAAATAACAGAAAGTCTTATTTTCTTTTATGTAGTTTGGTGTGTCAGGTCCGGAATGTCCTTGTCTGACTTACCTGCACAATTTCTGATTTGTTAGAGAGGGTACTTGCATGTGCAGGTAACTTTATAAACAATTTGGCTGGGGTGACTCTCACAGCCAGGACGAATTAATTTCTCACCTTATGGAAAATAACCAGAGTAGCTGAAATTCAAGGAGTTTGTAGGATAGTCTGCACAGTCTGGTCTTTAAGTAAGTCTTGTGAAAGATTTCCTAGAAACGAGAGTAAGACAAAGCCTGAGCCTCTGATTCAGACCAGTTTGGATAAGAGAACCTTCTGGTATGGTCCAATAGATCACACATGACTGGAAGGGTTGCAATCATGCAGCTCAACCATACCTGAAGAGCCCTGAGCATGGTCACACAAATACACACTTTGATCTGAGTTCCATCTTTGGAAGGGGACCAGATTCCACAGGGACTGTGCACGAACAGAGATCACCCATTTGCAGAACAAACTGCACTTCAGTAAAACAATCCATGACATTAATTGTGGATTTCTTCTTTCATGATATTTCTATTGCTGCTAAAGAATTTAACTACAAGGAGTTTGTTCCAGCTGAGACAATTGAGTGTTTAAGAAGAAATCCTTGAAGTGGTGGGATTTTTTTTTGGCTTTTTTTTTTTAGAAGCTAAGAGTCTCTCCTAGCAAATTAATCAGCCAGCTGAAGAGCCTTAATAATATTTGCTGAATGAAAACTCAGTCAATTGCATACTAAAACATGTTCTTTTCTCCTGGTGGGGAAAAGCCTGGAACCCTCCAAGTCCAGCTGCGCAATCAGATCCGTGCACTGAGCTCATTGGGAGCATGCTGCAACTGCTGGGAGAGTGTGCTGTGAAGGGGCCAAAGGTTTTCTCATAAAATCCCACTTTTCAAAGATTGTTTTAAATCAAAGAGGGCAGCCAGAAGGTATGGGTACAGTCTGCAGTCTATCCTTGCACTGGAGCAGAGCTCCAGCTCTGCAGATACAGCGCTTTACAGTGGTTTTTGCTGTACACACGAGCAACTGGAGAGCTTGCACCATGAGAACATGTTCTCACTTCAGGTATTACCCATCCCAAATATCAAACAACCTACCCAGACAAGCCAAAGACCAAATTAAAAGAGTTAGCAGTAGTTGAATAGTAGCAAGAGTTGAAGCAATAGTTTTGAATTCTACTGGGATTTTTCCTTTTGGTAGTATTTAGTATGTAAAAAGGTTGTATTTAAAGATTTTCCTTGCACATTCTAGGGCTACAAAGGTCATCTTTTCTCTTTTTGCCCCTTGTGAAGATTGGCATGCACCATTTTACTTCCAGACCATGAGATATTACACAGCTGAGGAAACTGATCTGCAGCATTGGGCATCCTCTCCATCACACTCTTATGCAGTTTTCTTGTCCCTGAGCCTCGAATTTTGTTTCCCCTGGAATTTCTCATCTACAAAGCTTCTTTCCAGGGAATGAGTGCTTCTCTTTGGCTGCAGAAAATGCCAAAAGTATAGGAAGTGCTTAAGAAACACCATACAGCTGGAGTCACAGTAACCCTTCCTCCAGGTGTTTATTTTACATACACACACTCTTGCAACCCAGCCACATTCCATTCAGGAAGACCTGCTGCAGTTCAGTGAAGGTGGGGGAAGGGAAAAAGCTCATTTGGAACTGATCTGCATCATTGGAAATGAAATACATCATTAAAAGCGGAGTGCTCCAGCCCCTGGCTGAGTGCCAGCTACGAGGTAATTTATGGATGTGCTCGGTGTTCCCCGGACATCACCAGAGACAGCACTGCAGAGACAAGGGCTGTCAGCATCTGGTACCCATCATTTCTGTGTTCAGACTTCTTTTTTTCCCTGCTAAGGATGAGACGGGTGATCTAGAAAGGAAAGGGGAGATTTAAACCTCCTCCATCTTTCCCATTCCTTTTTTTATGCCTTTTTCCTACATTGGCTCTGGGTGTGACTGCTTGTCCTGCCTTGGTGGGTCTGTGTTTGTACCAACAACATGACACAACCCCAGGGCAGGGCCCGTCCCCTGTGCCGGCGCTGCTGAGGCACCTCCAGTGCTGGGACAGCTCTGGGCCCCTCAGCACAGGAGAGACACCGAGGGGCTGGAGCGTGTCCAGGGCAGGGAACGGAGCTGGGGAAGGGGCTGGAGCCCCAGGAGCGGCTGAGGGAGCTGGGAAAGGGGCTCAGCCTGGAGCAAAGGAGGCTCAGGGGGCCCTTGTGGCTCTGCACAAGTCCCTGGCAGGAGGGGACAGCCGGGGGGGTCGGGCTGTGCTGCCAGGGAACAGGGACAGGAGGAGAGGGAACGGCCTCAGGCTGGGCCAGGGGAAGGTTAGATTGAATATTAGGGAAAATTTCTTCACTCAAGGAGCTGTCCAGCCCTGGCACAGCTGCCCAGGGCAGTGTTGGAGTCCCCATGCCTGGAGGAGTCTAAAAGCCATGTGGCACTTTGGGAACACAGTAGCAGTTTGTCTCAATGATCTTAGAAGGCTTTTTCAACACAAACAGTTCTACAACTCTCTAACATCTGCCCCACAAAGTGGCCGTCCTTGCCATTAACCTGCCACCGATTTCCCCTGGCAGGTACTTCTTCAGGTGCAACGTGAAAATCCCTCTGCGATACAAGAGGCGAGACTACAAAGTCTTCGAGTGTGCCAAGGTCACCGAGAGCTTCGCCAGCAAAGCCCGGAGCTTGGTGCCAGTCAAATATGAGACCATCGTGGTGACAGGCTTCGAGAAGGGCGCGGGCACCGACGCCAACGTGTTCATCACCATCTACGGCCTGAACGGGGACTCGGGGAGGCGGGCGCTGAAGCAGAAGTTCAGGAACCTCTTTGAGCGAGGCAAAACCAGCAGGTTTTACCTGGAAACGCTGGACATGGGGGAGCTGAAAAAGGTCCGGATTGAGCACGACAACAGCGGGCTGGGTCCGGGCTGGCTGGTGGAGAGGGTGGAGATCACCAACTCGGCCACTGGTGTCACCACCATATTTCCCTGTGGGAAGTGGCTGGATGAAAACCGGGGGGATGGGTTAATCTGTAGGGACCTTTTTCCCAGGTACTGAGGAGGGCACAGCTGTGCAAGGGTTTTGGACCCTTCAGTATGCTTTTTTTTTTTTTTCTCATTATATTGTTTTATATTGCATTTTACTTTTTAATACGCTACCTTTTGTATTGAGAGATTTGTAGTAGCAAGATGTTCTTCCTAGGTTAACATTTTGTAAAAGTAATGCTGCTTTTTTTTTTTTTTAAAGTGCACATAAAACTGTGAATTAAACAAATACATTTATTGCTTTCTTATGATTAAAAGCTACAACCAGCAGTGATATAAACTGTCCTTTACCAGCTCACATGTTTCTGCTTTCAGTGCTATGCCATGACAGAGCTGAGAAAACCCACTGACCACTGATAGGCTCCACTTTTAGATGAGCATAGAAGTTAAGAGAATTGAGACATTTTTATTTAAGAAAATTGAGCTTGGAGATGGCAGTTTTTTCCCCACTTCTGGCAGCTGCAAGCTCTGTATGTCCATACATACACATGCATCTCTCCAGAGGGCACCACATCAAAAAACAGCAGGCACAGTAGGACTTTCCATAGGGAGTTTGGGGAGCATCTGCATGCATCCAGCCAAGTCTCAAGCAGTGGGATCTGGGTGGTGTTTTCTACCCTAGGGGCTTTTTTTCCCCCCAGGGCAGACTCTGCTCCCTGGCTGAATTCCACAATTTTGCCAAGAGCTGAGATCTATGGTTACAGCTGTAAAAGACCTTCCAGATAATCAATTCCACAGCAAGGAAGCTGTGCTAACTATGTTCAAAGCTGACTCAGGATAATCTTACCCTACATGGCCTGAATACCAGCTCCTTTTCAGAGAAACTGCCATTCATTTTAGGGTTTTTTTCTCCTTTAATAAGGATTGCTGTTTTGTCATTTTCTGTGGTGGAGAAGGGATTTCCCAGAGGCAGTAAGAGCCAATGCTCCTGTCAGTGAGCTCTTCTCAGGCACTCACATCTCTACAGGTACCAACATGAAGATCTGTTTGTAAATCATTTCTTCTGGAGCCCTGTCTCTCTCTCTCTCTCTCTCAGGAGCAAAGCAGCAGGACACATCCTTAGGAGGAGAAAGGGGGCTGTTTGAGCCATGAGGACCTTCCTCCTGGAGGAGACTACCTCTCCACCCTGGAGAGGACATTCCCTCTCCCAGAAGCTGGTTTTAAACAAAAACTTCATATGAATAGGGATTAAGTGGGTCAAGAGTGGGCTTGACCCACTCACACACCCCACCAATTCCTGGATTGAGGATGATACTTCTGCTGGGACATTGCCTACATGTGCCAGGCCACGAGGCAGGGCTGTCCCACTGCTCAGTCTCTCACTGCTCATGGGTAAAGGAGGCCCAGCAAAGGCTGGTGATGCTGAGACAGGAATCAGAAACATCTTAGAAATGCTGTCGACTGCTCAGAGGTGCTTGAAAGCTGCTAACCCACCAAAGCCCTTCCAGGGAAGTTCTGGATTTCTGTTTCCCACAGCAGGCACCACCAAAGAGACTTGACCTTATATCATGACTGTCTGTGCCAGCTCACAAATAATAGCTCAGACTAATTCATTTTAGAAACCTTTATGGTAACTGATGGTTTTGGAGCAGAGCAAGTTGCTTAAATGAGCCCAGTAATCAACCTCATCAGTGATCAGCTACTCACTGAGAGGAATAATAATAGCACCCTTTGCTGCTGAGTTCTCTCTCCTCATGGCAGACTGGTGCTGCCCAGCCCTGAGCAAGGAGCTGGTAGCTCACAGGAGGAGCAAGAACATCCCTTAGGAGGGCTGGAGGTGATTGCTAGGGTCTGATTGCATCCCTGGGACCCTGCTGGGATAGGGTTCAGACTCCCTAGTTACCCAGGGGCTGCCATGAGTGGAGTCTGGTGCATCTGGGTTTGCTGTTCTTGTGCAGTGTCATTGCAGTTCCCCAGCAGGTGTTTGAAGCAATATATGGGTCAGGGTTTTGATCTCCCTGTATTCCCTCTCACCAAAGTTTAACCAGCACTGTGAAAAAAAACTCTCCTGTCAAGACGTTTGGCCCCTTTTTAGACAGATGTGTGCTGCAGTGAAATAGGAATTTCTCCCAGTACAGTGCTGTAGTCCCAGCATTTCCAGCTGGCTCCAGTCACCCCCTACTTGGTACAGGGTGGTGGGGAAGCTGGTTTTAGAGCATCAGTTCAAGCCCTGTCATCCCCTGGGAAAACCCACTGCACCAGTACCTGTTTCCATGGCCAGGTTGGGTGGGGTTGGGAGCAACCTGTTCTATTGGAAGGTCTCCCTGCCCATGGCAGGGGGTGGGAACTGAAACTTGGAGGTCCCTTCCAGCCCAAACCATTCTGTGATCCCATGATGATTCTGATTCCAGCCCTGGGGAGCAGTGAGGCAGCTCCTGACCCACACACCATCCCTTCCCAGGGCAAGGAGGGAAGATAAATCCTTACCTTACTTGTGAGACATGCTCACATTTGGGACGAATCACAGGTACCAAGTGGCTAGAACCATGGGTTGAGGCACAGCTGAAGCAGGAATAAATTAATCTTCAGGGTGACCAAATCACTGTGTAGGTGGGAGATGGGTTTGTAGGTATCTGTGTCGTCATCAAGGCCACCTGCCATCCCTGGACAGGCTTATTCAACACAAAAGCTCCAGGCAAAGCTGCCCTGAAAAGGGCCAAGGGAGAGTTTGCTGATAGAGGGTCAGCACCCTCACTGTTTCCCAGGAAGGCAACCTTGGCAAAGCATGAAAGAGCTCCTCTTTTTTCCACTAAAGACTTCAAACAAGCCCCTCGTTAGTGCAAAGCTCAGCTCCACCCTGGCTCTGGGGAATCCCTCTGTTGCTACAACAACTAATGCTACAGAAGTAATAAGGCAACAGTGGAGTTTTTCCAACGGCTGGATTTGCATTAAGCTGCTAAATTCAACACATTCTTGGCCAAGTGGAGATCAAGGGGGGAAAAAAGCCAAAATTTTCCTAGTCTTGTGCCTTTTGCAGGGCTTAGTCAATCTTTTCCTGTGGAGGCCAAGCATCTCAAAGCTGGTGTGGTGGGGAGATACAAAGCTCCTGCTCCCACCACCACCATCTACCTTCTTTTTTTACACTTTATTTCCTAATTGGTGGCATTTTAATGCACATTCCTTCATCCTAAAACAACAATGTAAATAAGAAGCAAGAGCAAAGGACAAGATTAGTACCACTCAGTGTGAGTCTTCAGAACCTGGTTGTCCCATTTTATTTGCATTCTCCACCATTTTGGGACTCAGATGAAGTTCAGTGTTGACTAAATTTAGATTTACTAAAGCACTTGGGTGATGCCAGCAAAAACATGCATAAACAAGGAGTACTTAGCAGTGTTTCATGCTGAAGGGCCGGTTGCCTCTTGGTGCAGGACACAGAGAATTATTTGCAAATCCCTATGAAATTGTTGCTAAGCATTTTTGGTAGCATCATATGCTTTCGTGAACCTTAGGCTCATGAAGGGGGAATGAGTGAGAGATGTGAAGTATCTTATATTCTGTATACAGGAAATATCTTACAATCTTTGCTATGTCTAGAGGTTCATACTAACTAGAAAAGAGCTAAAAAGAAAAACAAACAAAAAAAAAAAAAAAAAACCAAGAAAAAAAAATTTATTAATGGGGTTGTACAGCTCTGAGCTGCAACCTGTGGGCCAGCTGCAGATTGAGACACCACCAAACACCGATAAGGGCTAAACGTCCTGACCCCGGGCAGCTGCTGCGAGAGCAGATGCTGACGGTGAATAAAGACGTTGCATCTCGGTCCCTGCTGCTGTGCTGTGATGAGCACAGCCCCTGTCCCTCCCCAGGCAGGCACTGTGCTCAGCAGGGCTGTTATCAGATTGTGGCAGCCTGTTTGCTGCTCCAGTTCCAAAACAAATGCGATTGCCATCTGCAGCACCTCTCTCAGCGCCGTCACCCTTTCGAAGGACATCAGCAGGATCTCAGCAAGAAACTGAGATTTTCCCCAGCTGGACCAGCAGGCCACTTTTAACTTGTTTTCTTAGTTTCTAAAAGCTTCCTGTAACAAGAGCTTCGTGTTGTGTGAATATGGCTCATCCCTTATGCAGCTTTTGATGGATGCTGGAGGAGCTGGCAATTCCCTTCAGCCACAGGAACCAAACCTCTATGATCAGCAGCCTCTTGTCTCCAAGGCTTATTTAGACTAATCACACAGTCAAAGCTGGGCACTGGTCTCATCTTTTCAGGAGGAGCAGCTGAATCAAGAGTGGGCAGGAGCAAAGACTGGCACCATTTGGTGTGGGAGGAAAAAAAGCACAGGAGGACCTACAGAATGGATTTTGCAGGATGCAAAATTGGATGTGTGACCCATTGGATTCTCCAATGGGTATCAAAAATTGCCAATTTCCCAAGGATTGAAAATACCCTCAAATGTACCTGTATTAGTTTGAAGGGTTTGGGTTTTTTTTTCTTCCAATCAGTTTCCTTAGTTACTAAACTAGAGACCCACACAGAAGGAAATGATTCTCCACCAGGATGATGGGAGAGCCTGTAGATACCTCTGCAGGATCTGCTAGAGATACCTTACAGGCACCATGTGATGTGTTTAGAGGGGAAATCTCTCTTTAATAAGCAATTTTCTGAAATTCTAGAAAGCAGTTTTGGCACCTGATCACCAAACTGGTGCCACAGGTCACCACACACAGCGATGTGCCCACTGTGGAGAGCATCACCTCACCTCACCTCTGCCATGGGGCTCAGCCACCAGCAGCCTCTGCAAACCAGATGGGCAGAGTATTTTATACCCCAGCAGTGGTTCTTCTGCACATCAAAGACACAAGCAGTGGCAGGAGAGTTGACTCCAACCCAAAGAAACCAGAAATGAGCAGTAAATAAAGACCAAGTGACCGCCCTGCCAGGTGGCTTCTGCGTGGCACAGGTTTATAGTTAGCAATGCGGTTTGTTTTATTAGTTATAAATAAAGTACAAAAAATCCACCAAAAGTGAATCTAAGCATTTACACAATTTCTAATGTCTTTCCATTTCTTCAATGCACTATTGCTTTAATATTAATAATAAATATTTTTCTAGCTTTCTTCTATAAAATAGTCTATGTAGCAAAATGTTGCACAGCACAACAGAACAGCAGTAGGAATACAAAAATGTGGGTGATCCTTTCACCTGCCCGGGTCATTAAAGGAGAGGGGGTTTCGTTTACTCGCTCCTTGTTTTGCTTATCCCTCTTACAGTGACTTTGGGGGGTAGGGGGAAGGACAGCCAACCCCCCTGTCCCCACACAGCTCAAAATCACAGCTCCAGGCTACAGGGGAGGAGTGTTACAGAGCAGCAAGGTAAAATACACAGACAGGTTTAAAACCTGGGGTAAGGCAAAGTCAACAAAGCAGCGCAGCACCCTGAAGGGACAGAGAGAAAAAAATTAAGGTACTGTGATTTTGTGCCTTTCTAACCCAACTGAGAAATTCATCCAAAGCCTTTTTGTGGGGAGGATGGCTACTGGCTGAGCACATGCATCAAACCCCACTTCTGTCTGTACACGGCTGAATGTCTGCACTGACCAAGCATGGTTATGGCTTAAAGCTTAAAATGTTTTCAAAGGTTATCTAACCTTCTGGCAAAGCTGGAACATGTGATACTGAGGAGCCTTTGGGGTAAGGGCAATGCATTGCAAGAGCGGTGCAGCCATGGCAGGATGGGGATGCTTTGCCATGTCAGTTTGGGGCTGACCCCATTCTTGGGGACAGGAGGGCTCTGGAGCAGGTCCCAGCTCTACACTGGACTGAAAAGCTCCAAGTTGAGGTTCCCTCCTGTACAGGAGGGATGAAACCAACTGGTCAAGATCAGTGTTAAGTGCTTCTGCTCCATGCGTGTCTCAGCTGGGTTACAGCCAGTGCTCATGGCAGGCATTGCAAAGAGATGGCAAAGGGATCCCACATCCATCCCAACCACTCTCAGCTGGACATGGCATCACAGGATCACAGAATCGTTTGGGCTGGAAGGGACCATAAAGCTCATCTCGTTCCAACCTCTGCCATGGGCAGGGACACCTTCCACTATCCCAGGCTGCTCCAAGCCCCGTCCAGCCTGACCTTGGACTCTTCCAGGGACCCAGGGGGAGACACATCTTCTCTGGGAAACCTATGCCAGAGCCTTCCTAGCCTCTGAGTAAAGAAGCCAACCCCTAAAAACTGCATTGAATCCCTCAGTTCTGTTGCCTCCAAGCTCAGGCTCACCCTATTGCCTCCTTCACCCCAGCTGGGCGCACACACAGAGGATGAAAAGAGCCAAACCGAGCACTGATAGACGCCAAAAATTACAGAGCCACCACACCTGGGCTTCCTTCCTCATCTTTTGACACAATTTTCAGAGTCTTGCACCAAAGGCATGCATTGCCCCAAGCACAGCCTTGCAGTGGGAGCCTGCTGGGTGTTATTGCAGGGTCTCCCAAGCAGCAGCAGCATCACCAGAGGCATCAGGGACAGGGCAGTACCAGGAAACAACCAAAACATTTTGGTTTATGCAGAGCGTCGTTAACCGCCTTCAATGCGCAAGGACACAAGTGAAAGGATCACCAGAGTTTGATTATGAGTGCAAATAATATTCATATATATGTGCTAAACACAGTCACTATATTGCAGTTTTCCACTATGTCACAGCATACAGAATCAAAGGTTTGCATTTTTATGGAATGTATCCAAGGTAACAGCACCACAGTAATACAGTTTGTAATCACACACCCTGATTTTTTTCTCTTTTTTTTTTTTTTTTTTGTTTTTGACAAGATAAGCATTACCCCCCACATCCCCTGTTTAATTTTATTTTAAGTACCGATGCATGCAAAGCATTCCATTCCCAGAAACAATGCAAAAATGAGGTAATAGGAGTAATAAAAAAAATTAGTAGTAATTTCTAAATAAATAAATTATAATTAAAAATGCAAAAAAACAACTATAAAAATAATTAAATAAGAACCCACAATATCTACAAGTTAGTCATAAATTATGATTGTTAAATATAAGGCATTTAAACTCACAAAACCCTGTAAACTATTGATGTTTTGTTTCTAGATTTGTTGTTGTTGTTGTTGATGTTTGTTTTGTTTTGTTTTTAAACTCATCCTAACTCGCAACCTGCTTGTACAAATTATTTAAACGCAAAGGAACCTGACACACTGATACAACTCCAGACACTGTAAATTCGCACACACCTTGGGATCATTCACTCACACGAGACCATGGGAGTTTGGTGCTTTTCTCCACCAAAAGTTTGTTTGTTTTATTTGTTTGGTTTTGTTTTTTTTTTTTTAAAGTTTGATCGATTTTTTTTATTTTTTTTTTTTAAAAACTGTGCTTGTATATTAGGCAAATAGTAACACTTTCTCATAGGCTTTAAAAGAAAACACACGGTCCAGAAGAGTTCCTCATTCCCTCCCCAACCAGTGGGGGTACCAATCCCCCTGATACTCTCCCTGCTTCTCCCCTCCAAGTCACACCTGGGCAGACCAAACCTGCTCAGAGTGTATTTTACCACCTTGCCAAAGCCTTGCTTTGCTTGTCATGGTATTAGTATTATTAGTATTATTTGTAATGCTGCTTCAATGCTGATGGAGCGAGACCCATAGGTACCCATGGGCCACTCCTTGACCATGGATATCAGGGCTGGGACCACTACATTCCCCAAGAAGCTGTCACTTGTGCTGGGTGGCAAATGTGTCATAAAGTCATGGAATGGTTTGGGTTGGGAGGGACCTTAAAGCTCATCTTGTTCCAAACCCCCTACCACGGGCAGGACACCTTCCACTAGATCAGGTCACTCCAGTCGCCATCCAGCCTGGCCTTGAACACTTCCAGGGTTCTCTGGACAACCTGTGCCTGGACCTCCCCACCCTCACAGCCAAGAATTCCTTCCTTATGTCTTCTCTATAGGTCACCATCGATCCCCTTCCATCCCTCCCACCTGCATGGGAACACAATGAGAGCCTCCTGCACCCTCACGTGGGGCTTCCCTCCTCTCCCCTGTCTCACTGGGAAAAAAAGGAAATTCTCTGTGTGCCTCTGAGGCTGGTGTTTTCCAGTTACAGCTCATGCGAATCTTGCAATTTCTCAGATGATAGTTTATGATTGAATCTACTTGGGAGAGCATTTCTCTCCAGCGAAACAGATGCTCAGGGGAGCCAGAAATTGTTCCCACCACACCAGCATTTTCAATAGATTATGTTTCTAATTCCCCTGCTGCTCCTTTGCAGCTCTTTTCTCCCTTAGTATGAAAGAAAAAAAAAAAAAAAAAGAAAAAAAAAAGAAAACTACAGGTTTTGGTTGTGAATGTCAGTTTTCCCGAGGATTTTCTGCCCGATCCCTGTGGTTGCCGTGCAGAGGTCTTTTTTTTTCATGGGGAGCATGGATCACAACAGCTCACTCCTTTGGGTATTACCTCTTAATTCTGTTTTGAGTGTTAATGTGATTAAGTTTCATTTTAACAACCACTGATTGCTCCATGTGGATACAGCCTGAAACGTGCTCACAAGCCCACATCAGCATGGGTGCTCTCGCTTTGGGGTGGGTCACAGCCCAGCAGCGAGGCTCCCAAAAGTGGCAGCCCACCTCCACCCTGCCTTCCCCTCCCATGCCCCAGGGCTCATGGTCTCGGCAGTGTCTTGTGAGCATCAAGTTTTCTTCCATCCCGTTATCAAGAGATGCTTTTGCAATGGGAGAAGAGTTGACATTTTGCACCTCTCCAGCGTCATTACACCCCAAAGAACAGCCATAGGCACTGACTCCCATAACCATCATTTTGGAGTGCTGGCAAAGTCAACCAGCCACACAGCTCACAGAAGAAAGCATCACGGACAATTGCAATCATGTAGACAGAACTTCCTTGGATTTTGATATGACAAGCTACTTTGTTAAAATACAGAAAGCAAAGAAACAGCATCTACTCAAATACTGTGCCGCTACAGAAAGTGTCCAGCACCAGCAGACAAGCAGGAACGAAGCTTTTCCCTATTGCTTCGTTCATTTTATCCCCAATTTTTATTTTTATTAAGCTTCTCTAAATTTGCAACACACTTTAAATGCAAGGGAAAGAAGCACACGCGGCTGAGGCAAAGAGCGCAAACCCTTCTGACTGTAAACAGGATTTTGCTTTTCCTCCTCTTTCCCCCACCCCAAGGATGGGAAAGTTTGACCTCTTTATTCCCCCTCTGCAATGTATTAATCAGGCACCAAAATAAGGAATCTATGAAAAAATATTTGGTGCAAATTAGGTTAACAGCAACATGTCCACCACAAGATGAGTAGGGCATCAAACACAACATTTCTTAAGCTAACATGCTCCAGCTGCCATCCATAGAAATAGCTAAAGGACCCCTAACATGTTTCTACATATTTGAGAGGTATATATACAATCCCCATGAAAAGCAGGATTGACAGGCCGGACTACCACAACTAGTTCCTTCATATTCAACACTAAAATCTTCTGCAGCACGGGGTCTCTGAGCTCCGGGAATGCCAGCTCCCTTTCACTGGGCCTGTATCCTGCGTATATGTGCAATATCTCCTACTGCTAGATATTGTATCACCACCTCCTTCTCCTCACTAACGTGCCTGCAGACTTCCCCTCTCAATCAAATGGCTCAGAAGGCAAAAAATTTCGCTGCAAGGGTTTATGGCCATACGACCTGGTAAGGAAAATGGTGTGTCCAGCTAGTCTTTTCAGCTGTCCGAGCCGAGCTGTGTTTCAATGTCCACCCTGCAGATCGGGCACTTCTTGCTGGTGGCCAGCCACTGGTCCACGCACACTTGGTGAAAGAGATGCATACAGGGCAATCGCCTGCAGAGATAAAAACACCACTGTTAGGATGGAGGAGGTCCAAGGGACCAAGAAGAGCTGAAAATCAGCATCTGGGGCTGTTTTGAACATGGGAAACCCTGCTGGGGTGACACCATTGCCACCAAGGTCCTGCAGCCTTTCCCAGCCACACAGAGCAGTGGGCTGGAGATAGTGTCCTCCTTGGCCTATTAGAAACCCCCACACCATCCTGAATTGAGTTGTTCCAGTTATTAATTGTGCTGGCTGCTAAATTTTAACCTTTCAGGAGCAAGATAATACTCCAAAGCCTCCTTCATGGTTGTGTCACATGAGCAGCCAGGTGGGTCCACAGCATTCCTACATGGGTGTCCCCAGGGAACCTGGTCACGTTTTACCTACATCACCTCTGCCATCACCACACATCACCCTTGTGATACAGGAGAACCTTGAATGACAAGAGCTCACAGCAAAAGGATCAGGGCTTTTCTTGACATTTTAAGGGTGAGAAGCAGACCTGGGTACTTCTCACCTGCAGTCCCTTCAGCCATGATAGTTCAGCCCCTTGCAATTTCTTATCCCCACCTTCTCTCACAAGCAGAGATTTGACCCAGTCAACAGCCTGGGATGTTTGTTAGAGACAGCTGGAGTTCTGTTGGCTGGGAATGGCTCCCTGTGACCATGTGGGCAGAGTAATACTACTTACTCTACAATAAAGCAGCTGTGTCTTGGACACAAGCCCAGCTCTCCTGGACTTCACAGTAACACTGCTTTTTATCATACTTTGGTCATCTGTCAAGCTCAGATGTTGATGACCCCAAGCTCCAGATGGTTGTCAGAGATCAGTCTGACCTACCCTTCTTGGACACTTTGCCACCTGGCCAGCTGGCACAGCCTGGAAGAGATGATCCAAACCCAGGAAACACTATAAAAACTTAACTCCCTGCTGCTGCAGGGCTCCTCCTGCCTGCGGACCATACCAATGTCTGTTTGCAAAGCATTTGGGTTCCCAGACCTTGCAACAGCCCAGGTGAGTTTCTCAGGACAAGAACAGAGACAGCCCCACCAGTGCACAGCTGCATTGATCCAAATAAACACAACTCAGATGGCATCACGAGGCAGAGGAGGGGATGAAAGGATCTCACCTGACGTCCTCTCCATCCTCAAGCATGGACAGACAGATTGTGCATTTCTCGTCAGTATCTGACTCCTCGCCATCGTCTTGCTCAGCTTTGCCTTCCTGTGGTCTTCTCTGCAGCAAGGTTAAAGACATCATTTGGTTAGACCTTGCCTTTCTAATTCTTTCCCAATCCTGGGTAGTTGCAGGAAGATAAACAATAAGATCTCCATCTATCAGCCAGATCTTCCAGCTTGGGGAAGCCAGCCCAGCCAAAACAGCCAGCAAGAAGATTGTGTCACCAACAGGCTGCAGGTTGGCATGTCTCCTCCTGGGGCTGGTGGCAGTGAGGCTGGTGGCAGTACCCCAAGGAGCAGCCTGTCCTCTGCTGCCCTCATACAACTCCTCACAACTTCCTTGGAGTGGGGTTGGCCCCATGGTCTCCTTTGCTGGAGGCTTCTCCTTGGAGAGACCCCAAAGCTCATGGTGCCACCACTGCCAGGAAGGGCAACCACTGTGCCCCTTATGCCAGCTTGGCCACTGACCCAGCCCCATGCTGCACCACAGGGCAGTGCTTAACCTGTCAGCTCCCCCTTTTTCCCCACACATCCATTCCTATCCATATCTTTTTCCTGGGTTCACTGGAGATGCGATGAGAGACAAGTGCAGCAGGAATTACCTCACTTCCAACCTGGGCAATGCAACATCCCTTCCCTCCAGCCAGGAGTGACCAACACAAAAAACTACTGCCCAGACAAGCATTCTTCCCAGTTCCTACTTAGCACAACCCAAAACTGTGCCACCCATTTCCTCATGGGCAGGAGGTGAGCTCCGACAGAGGAGACACCCCTCGTGAAGCCAGGGGAGGACAAGGTCCCGGTGGGCGTGGGGCTGCGCCGCTTGCATGCAGAACGGGGCAGGTTTGCATGCACGAAGCCCCCTTGGTGGTGTGCACTTTCTTACCAGCTGCGGACAGGGGGGAAATTGCACCCGCTGGGTGGGAGAAGGTTGAGACCCTTTTGAAAATTTGGCCCGCAGCTTCCTAGCCTAGAAGTGAGAAACAGGCAGCTGAGCCACCGCTTCCGCCCCGGGAGCCCCGCAAGATATCAAAGCACCACTGCTGGGTTTTACACTCCTCCCCCGCCTCAGGGGATGGTTTGGTTGATGGTGCCAGTTTGCCAACCCTGAGGATTGCGACCCACCGAAGTCCTTCCTTCTGCTCTGTGCCCACAGCCCTTGGCCGACTGAGAGGGGCTTGGCAGCCGTGCTGTGTTTTGGGGCACTCACCTTCTTGTACTTGTGGGGGAAGGTGAATCTCTCAATGGTGTTCTGGACGGCGCCCCGGCTCACGCTGCCCAGCCTGTCCTCCAGCTGCAGCAGCTCCTGTGGCACAGGAACATCAGGAAAGTGCCCACTGCTCCCAAGGCATCAGGTCCCCCTACACAACCATACCTGCGGGCAACCGAGGCTCCCTCCTGTCCTCTCCTCAGTGGAAATGTCCATCAAACCCAAATCAGCCATGCTGTAATGATGGATCTGATCCCTGGCACTTGGGATAATAACTAAGAGCTCGAAGCAAAGAGCTGGATATCCAGTATTTCACAAATTAGGGTGGGATCTGAGCTTCATCTGACAGGCTGGGAAACAAAAACCCCATTGATCTGGAGCACTTTGTTCACAGACATGAAAGGAGCCAAAGTCAACCCAAGCCTAACCCAGGTACCTTGTAGTAAACCATCTTTTACCAAACTTAACCCAGTCACTTCCCAGTTATTACTAAAATTGATGAAACGCTCATTGCAACTGCCACGTCATAAAAAACAGTCTTACAGCTTTACACCAGAGCTTGCATAAACTCACAGCACTTTAAAAATGAGTAATTCCAGTCTCCAGATACGTACTTCATAGCTCTCCCGCACAGCGGATGTGTGCCTGCTTGGGTTCAGTCCCTGAAGAGCAAGCAGCTGAAGCTGAGGGTAAGGGTAATTTCTGATTTCATGAACAACCTGAAAAAAGTGAGGCAGAAAAATAAAGCCAGCTGTACTTGCCTACAGAAAACCCTTGTGTGCCCTGATGTAAATCTAATGCTTTAAAAATTCAAATTGAAAGAGTAGATTGACACCTTCACCAATTTAAGCCTTTTGATAACAAAAATATGAGGTTTTATCAAATACAATTCCTACAAATGATAGCTAAGAGCATGCACTTCTTACAAATAAACTGTTATAATAATTCCTGTATCATCCATTGTGGTTCTAAACTCCCAGCATTAAATAGATTACAATGAAATTTTATTTCATTTAAATGGGTAGATTTCTGTTCATCCAAGCTTTGATTGTTTTGTTTTTTTTAAAGGCTAGCTTTTGTGCACAGGTGTTAGGATCCGACTACAGCACGAGGGAAAAGCACCCTCATGGGATATCTGAAGATGTTTTAAGGATTAGCAGTGCTTGGTATGACTTAGTTCCAAATACAGCACCCTGCTAGGAGAAGGGGTTTTAGAAAATTACCCCAGTCAGCCTGTCTTCTCATCAATCCCACCTCCACCTGTGCAAGAGGTTATGTAAAACCTTTACAGGTGGCATCAAAGCATGGAGAGCAACTATGTGTTGAGGCATGGTCCTCGGGGCTGACACCAGGGAAGGCAGTCACCCACTGCCAGTCCTTCTGCATTCAAAGCCAGAAAAAAAGTCCTGGGAGACCACAGCTCCTTCAAGTACTAATAATATTAATATTAACTGCTGAGTCTCTCACATCCTGCCCATGTTTTGCAGACCAGCTTATGAACGTGGTGCTGCAAGCAATGGACCAAATCCTTCCAGAACAGCTGAGCTTTTCTTTTCTTTCTCTAATCCAGTGCAGTGATGCAACATTATCCTTTCAGACACTCCCTCCCACGGCCGGAGATAAGTGGGATTTGCAGAAGACAGGTGATAGAAAGATAGCAGCCTTTATTTTGACTGCTTTCTGGCAGACAATGCATAAAACATTTCTCAGTAAAAGCGTTTCACTTACCATCTGGGTTGAGGATGTGCTTCTGGGGAAATGGTGCATCCGAGGTGTAGCCAAGTAATGCTGATAGGGCTGGGGCACCGGCCGGACCTGGAACTGGGCGTGAGTCAGCCCCGCGTCGACGCTGAGGTCCCTGTGGGCACCAGGAGGAAGACGTGGCTCTGAGTGTGCTCTTGTGTTCATGGGCAGCAGCAAACCAGACCATGCTCAAGGGGCAACCTCCCTGCTGAGCACGGGGCTGCTCTGAGCCCCTCAGCCTGGGGAGAAGGTACGGCTTGGAAGGGAGTTTCCTCCAGTTTGGGGAATCACCCACCAGGCCACCATGAAGGAGTTGTTTCTATGCCAGATAGCATTTGAGCTTTTAGGGGTCAAGAGCTGCGCAGATGCACACTCCTAGTTTCAAAGCAAGAGCATTTTGGTGGCTCGAAAAGATACCCAGGATCAGTAACTCAGCTTGGTCAGATCAGGACCTTCCTGTGCTGCCAGTGCTGCAAACTATTGCAATTTGCCTTGAATGTTTTCCAGGAGCACACATAGTTACTCAAGGGACTCAAAAATTAACCATTCTGGTAGATTTTAAAAGCTTAATGGGCATTGTCTGTGGGCTTTTTTGATGTACCTGTGCTCTCCTTAGAGGTCTCCCAGCCCAGATCATGGCAGGATTTGGGGAGACAAAGGACACTATGCCTTGCCTGAATCCACTCTCAGGGTGGCAAGGGTTTGAGGTGTGAGGGTGGTGAGACCCTGGCACAGGGTGCTCAGAGAAGCTGTCACGGCCCCTGATCTCTGGAAGTCTCCAAGGCCAGGCTGGACAGAGCTTGGGGCAACCTGGGATAGTGGAAGATGTCCCTGCCCATGGGAGAGGTTGGAACAAGATGATCTTTGAGGTCCTGTCCAACCCAAACCATTCTGGAATTCTATGATTCTATGAACTCCAGAGCTGTAATTTGTGCAAAAAATACAAAGCTTTTAAGAAATGTCTGGATGAGGCTGCTATAGGAAAGGGTGTCACAAAACTGGAGGGATACCACCAATGGACCAAGACATCCCTGATGCCCCTGCTTGCCTGAACACAACCTGATGAGCAGAGATGGAGCTCAGCTTGGTGAATCTGGGCACTTTTATCCTCCAGAAAACTAACTCAGCTCAATCCCCAGACTTGCCATAATCAAGATCCCATCAAATACTACAGCTCTGTTCAATCCAACAGAGATAAACTACAATCCCACCACTACCACACCACATGGAGGGAGTGTGAGGGGGACCAGAATCTCCATCTCTAATCCAATTAGCTGATCCCTATTCTCTCCAGCCTAAGAGTCACTTGGCAAATGAGTGCTTTGAACACCATTTACTTTATCATCATTACAAAATCCTGCACTCTAATAACAGTTGTCTTCACGTTTCCCAAGGCAAAGCTAATAGGAGCACAAGGGTGGCTTCCCATTTCAGCCTCCAACTTCTCCCCTGCATGAAGGACAGATGTGTCTTCCAGCAGCTGTGAAACTGCTTTCACCCACCACAAGAAGGGGACCTGAGGGGACAGTAGATGCAGAAATCCTTCATCCAGAACAGCCTGTGCACCAGGCAGCAGCACCAGTGCTCTAGAACTCCCTAATACCCACCACAAGCTGGGTGCAATGATCCCCATGGGTCCCTTTCAGCTCAGGATATGCTGTAGTTCTATGATTTTAAGTTGAAGCCAGGGGAGGGACTACCTTTGCTGGCCCTGTATTAGCCATGTGCTAGACAGACAAAACCAGGCAGAAGATAAAACACAGCAGGCAACTGGCAGGAACACAGCCAGGGTGAGAATCTACAGGTCTTGGCACTTTCCAGCTCATATATCCCCATTTTGGATATTTACCCAATTGCTTAAGATTGTTCCCAGGTTGATGGAGAGCTCAATTGGAAATCAGGAGGCTTTGAGTCCATTCCCAGCCCTGCCACTTTCTTGATGCATGACCTTGATCCACTTCCTCTCTGCCTTCCCATACTCCCTGTCTATGGAACAGATGTGGTAATTCATGGAGTGCATTGAGATCAAGGACTGAAAAGATCTCTCAAAGGTGAATGGCCATTATTAAATTGCACGAGTAATTGCAGTAACAGAATTGCTGAACTTTTTGTGCATCTAGAGACTTAAAATCAGACGTTGAGGTTCTTTGAAGTGATGCTTTGGGTCTACAAATGTGTCCAAAGAAGAATACAGCACGGAACAGAGTTTTCCCAGGGTTTGGGGGTGAAGAAGCAGAGCACACCTGCTGAAAGAGAATGGAGCTAACCATTATTTTCTAGCCCATGTTACATGAACAAGTGTACAGCACCTTGATGCTCAGGTGAGAGGCTCAAGAGCTGTGAAGCTTGTGGTAAATGGACTGCCAACAACCAAGGGGTGAAGGATAAGACACCAGATAACAGGTAGGATGATCATCACTGCATGTGTGTGCAGATGATGATTTAACGAACCAAATGGGACTTTATTTTATTCCTCAACAGAAGATTTCAGTTGGGGCTGGGCTGAGACGACTGATCTTTCCTCAGATATTCCTTCCCTCCCCACTTCCACCTCCTGTGGCAGCGCCCACCACCTACAGCCTCAGAGAAAACACTGCTGTTGCTGCTCATCCGGGGGTAACACATCAGAGGGTAGTTTTTATATTTGTCACTGGGCAAAACTGTACATGTGCCCCAAGGGAAAGTGAGTCACCCAAACATATGCTCACCATGTATGGTTCCTGTCACCCCCACTCCTTAGGTTTTATAAGGCTATGGAGCAACAGAGAGGAGAAAAGGAGGGAGGGGGAAGGCACTTAGTGATGCTCTATCAGATACTTCTAATGATTATAATTAAGCACTCTGAGCTGAAAGAGAGGCAGAAAGAATCGCTCTATCCAGATGGTACATGAACTGCTTTGCAAACCAACCCGAACAATGTCATCCCGACCACACTCAGCCCACAGGAGTGCCAATAATGGGAGCACCTGAGAAGAAAATTGCAGAAGGATGTGGTCATATTTTAGATTGTGTATTATGCACTGAAGGGGGAAAAAAGAAACAACCCTGGGTTACAAGGACTTTTCATTTGCAGAGTGGAGTGCTCAGATGTTAGGAAATGCCATCATTAGGACTTCCTGTGCCATTTTATTTTGGTCCCCTTGTGCAAATACATTGCGATTGTCTCTAATTACAAGTTCACATGATATTTTTTCCATTCAGTTCACAGAATGGACTTTGCTTAGCTTACAAGCAATGACTCAGAAGAATGTTTTTATTTTCTCGTTCTTTTGACCAGGTTACCATACTTTATTAACTGTTCAAGGGCTCTCAACCTGTTCTGAAAACGAAATGAACAATTTCCTGTGAAGGTTTTCCAGGGTATTGAACACTGCAGTTGGAGAATGGTGAACAAATCTCCATTTATACCACCCTGCATGGCAGGGTAGCGTGATGCTCCCTAATTGGAACCACAGAAAATATTATGGCCACTGGGTTTTGAGTGCCTGAAGGACAGCAAAGGGTCTAGTTCAGGCAGACAGTGGTCTACAGGGAAAAACACTCTCTGTGCCCTACAGCACAAAGAACAACTTGGGGGAATTAATGCTTGGCTTCATTCTAAATCTGTAGGTGAAAAGTTATGAGCAACAACAATGGAGTGTGCCTAAATGTGGGCAATGGAGCTGGGGAATGTTCTAGAGCACAAGTCTGATGAGGAGCAACTCAGGGAGTTGGGGGGGCTCAGCCTGGAGAAAAGGAGGCTCAGGAGGGACCTTCTGGCTCTGCACAACTCCCTGACAGGAGGGGACAGCTGGGAGGGGGTCAGGCTCCGCTCCCAGGGAACAGGAGGAGGGGAAGGAACAGGAGGAGAGGGAACGGCCTCAAGTTGTGCCGGGGAAGTTTAGATTGCCTGTTAGGGAAAATGTCTTCACCCAAGGAGCTGTCAAGTCCTGGCACAGCTGCATAGGGCAATGCTGGAGTCCCCACTTCTGGGGGGATTTAAAAGCCATTTGGATGTGGCACTTGAGGACATGGGTCAGTGGCAGCCTTGGCTGTGCTGGGGAATGGTTGGTCTTCACGTTCTTACAAGGCTTTTTCCAACCTAAATGATTCAATGATTCATTTATAGAGGAGGCTTTCACACTCTCTCAGACCTCTCAGAGAGGAGTTTTCCCACTGCACACTCCCCACACTGTAACCTCTGAGCTGACTCATTAGTTTCATCAAAGCTCTGATCCCTGATGGCATTCCCCAAAACCCGCAGCCTTCCCAGGACTTTTCAAACCCCTCATTGGATGCAGCAGTGAAATGGGGACCACTTACCAGTCTGTGCCCTCTGCCAAATACCTGGGCTGGGGCCCCATGGGTTGTGGAGTCTGCAGTTGGTGGCTGAAGTCGAAGCTGGGGTGTAGGCGGTGAGGCTGGACAGACATGCGCTCTTGGGTCCGCCTGTGGGGAGGAGACCAGCAACAGGGAGGGTCAGACACGAGTGGACGCTGGAATTCCTGTCAAGAATTGGGCAAACCACAAAATCTGGGCTTGTGGACAAGTGTCCAAAGCAAAGCACTCCAGGCAGGTGTAAAGGATGATTGGAAGAGGAACCCTTTGAGGGCTGTCATTCCCTCAAAGCCATCACATAGTAATCCACTCTCAGACCCTGTGGCACCCACATACGCTCAGTTTACAGGAGATCCTATTTGCTGGCAACATTCAAAGAAAAAGAGGAACCAAACAACTTCTCAGCAGTTTTGTGCAGTTTGCAGTATTTCCTTTTTTGCTACAGTCGGCCCCACAAACAAAACACAAGGTAAAACGTGCCCCTGCTACAGCTGTGATCCATCACCATAAAGAAGCTGCAGGTTGTCTCGTCTCCTGTGCAGTCCATAAACTCCTGGGGAACCTCATTCATAACCAGATTACTCACGAGTGACTGAAAGCAGAATTAACTCCCACTGGCCTTTGCCAGCATTTCTTTGGATGATGGACAAGCCAGGCTGGGTTCCAGATCCTTCTCCCTCTGCTTTGCTGCCATTGCAGGCAGGGAAAAGAAAGTGCTAGAAAATACAGCAAGGTTTTTCTAGGGATTTGAGTCTCATAATTACTGCTTATTTGAACTACTCAGAGGAAGAGCGTGTGTTGCTGGATCAGTGCCCACATTTGGCAAGAGACAAGGTGGATGCACAAGCAGGATTTGCATTATAGACAGACTCCTAACCTTTGCTTCCTGAGAAGTTACTTTATACCAGTGGAACCATCACAGAGAAAATCTCCAGGAAAAAAAAACAGGGCAAATGGAGCAGGGAACTGTCAGGTAAATAACTCTTCATGCAGCCTCAGTTCAGAGGTTTCACTCTCAAAGGCATAACCTATATTCCCATTACTGGGACCTCCTGCCTCATACCTGTAAGGGTTCTGACATCCTGCTCCATTGCAGCTTTCAGAGACAAGCACTGGGACTGGGCAAGAGGTTCCTGCCTTCTTCCACACCACAGCCCACTTGCAAATACAACACTAACAGCTCTTACCAAAGCAGACTCTGCGTGGAATTATGCTCTGTGCTTTTATTTGAATTCAGCTTATGACTAAGAGATAAACACTTGTATCATCAGTTTCTCAGCCTTGAACATACTTGCTACCCAATTATTAGCTAATCATTAAATCCACCTAAAATCCAGCTTATGCAAAACAAAGCAATGATGAGAAGAACATACAATTTTCAGGCAGAAAGGACATGGAAAGAAAGGGTTTTCTATCCGTAACATTCTTTCCAAATGAAGCATCATTGCAAAGTCTCATCCTCTGATTCTTGATCCATGGGTACAACCCACAAATAGCTTCCATATGTTTCCAAAAAAAATCACTCCTCTCTCAAGAAACACAATCAAGACAAGGCCAGGCATCCTTTTCCGTCTCTGCTGAGTTACAGCAATTCTCTCTGCATTTGTCAGCTCAGTGTGGATTTAGGATGCTCTCTGTGACAGAGTGTGCTCCAGGTCAGTGGCATCATTCCCTCACAAAGAGGGAAAGCCTGCCAAACCCTGAGCAGCAAGACCTCCATGTGTATAACCTGGTGAGAGGTGGACGCAGCCTCTTGCGTCCTATGGTTCTGGAATAGCAGCTACAAGGATGTAGCTCAAGCACTCAGAGACAGGAAAGGTTCCTGACAATGCCATCATGATTCTCCTAGGAGTGACAATAATGGGACACACTAGAGGAGCACAGTTGGGATCCCCGCAGGAAGGGCCCACCTTCAGGTGCAGCCTGCCCTGCAGCCTCCCTTCCAGTGGATGCATTTTCAGGGCACACAGGTGAGCTTGAGAAGAAAGCCCAGCACCACCAGCGCGGCCGGGGTTCCACAGGCGACGTGAGGCTGGCACAGCTTCTCCACATCCCTTGGGAAGAGCAGGGTCCCCTTACCTGGGATGGGGCATGAGCCGGCGGTGCTGTGCCTCGAGGAGCTGCTGCTGGAGGAGGTATTGCTGGTGTAGCGCCTGAGGTAGGAAGGAGGGCCCGGCGACGTCCTGGAAGGGCAGGGCAGGCACGGGCGCCAGGGGCTGGTGCAGGGGGCCGCTGTGCTGGTGCGCGGGGGCCATGTGGGGAGCCAGCCCCGGCTGCGGCTGCACCGCGTGAGGCAGGGCGAAGTCGGCGGAGAGCTGAGGCTGGGGACCCAGGTGGAAATGCCGGCAGGAGGTAGCATGGGGATGCTGAGACCTTTGAAAGGGAGCACCTGGAAGAGAAGAGCACAGCGGTCACGGGGGCCAGCAGCGGCCAGGGCAGGGCAGACCAGCCCCGTGGTCGCCCACCCCGGGCAAGAGTTGGGCGAACGGCTGTTACTCTCCGCTTCCAGAAGGTTTATAAAAAAAATACAAATAAAAGAGAACAAGTCAGTCAAAGCTGATTACAAGAAAAAGTGCTGATTTTGACCAATGGCATTTCTCCTCCAAGAAAACATTGGAGCCAAAACATAGATTTGGGTTCAAAGTCTCTTTTTGGCTCCAAGTTGAAGTGTGCACTGATGAAAACTGCTTCGAGCTTGTTTTGGCTTTCCTGTCTTAAACAGAAAAAGAACAAAAGTCTTAATAGAGCCTTCAGAGATAGAAAAAGGAGTGATGGTTTTTAATTAGAAAAGAGGAGATTCGGACTAGACAGAAGGAAAAAATTTTTGTGCTGAGGGTGGTGAGGCCCTGGCACAGATTGCCCAAGAAAGACATGGATACGCCATCCTTGGAAGTGTTCAAGGTAGAATGGAGTTTGGAGCAACTTTGTCTAGTGAGAGATGTCCCTGCCCATGGCAGTGGGGTTGGACTACATTACTTTCAAAGCGCCTTTCCAACCCAAACCATTCTGTGATATAGACTCAACACTCTAGAAAAGGAAAGAAACAACAAAACCTGCTTTCTAAAATATTTGGGTTTTGAATATTATCTCACTGAAGTTTTGATGCTTTCCCTGAATTTCAGGCTTTCCTTGCAAGTAACTTCTTTGCCTCTCTAAAAATGTCTCACAGGCAAGGAAATAATCTCTGCTCTAAAAAATTGCCTCACACTGACTTCAGGATGTGAATGAGACAACTTCCACCTCTGAGAGCAGGGATGAAGGCCCTGTGTGCTTGCTGAGATCCTTCAACAACCAGTCCTCATGAGCTGCATGCAGGGAAAGAGCAGCTGCTGGAAGCACAACATGGGCTGCTATGAGACCGGTCATGAAGCTGATGGGAATGAGGAAGAAATGAGGTGTGAAAGATATCCATAGTGGAGGCGTTTTGCAAAACATCTGGCACTGGCTTGCACCTTGCTCAAGATCCTCTCTTGGACAGGCCCTTGGACCAGTCCAGTGTGTTAATTCCTACATTCCTGGAGCATTTACAGGCATCATGCAAAACTTTAACTAGGGAAAGAGTCAACTCAAAGATGAAAGATGGGACTCGAGAGAGGTTATTAGAGATGCCTCCTTGCTGAGGATCAGCCCCAGCATGGGGCACCTCCCCTTTTACACTTTTTGCACACCCCATCTACCTCTTTCTGTTTTCATCTTTGTGAATGGTACAAAATATCCCAGAACAACAGCACCAAGAGACACTATGCCACCCCAAAGTGCAAGCATGCACATCATGCCTTCTTCACCCAGATCCCTTCTGCTCACATCTCCCTGGCAGGCAGGGCCAGTCCATCACAGCAGCTCAGGGAGTCCCGAGCAAGCCAGATGCCAGCAGGAGAAACAACAGGAGAGGGCCTATCAGAAATGGATGGTTTGCAAAACTGTGCATAATCACACAGAGCATCTCTTAAATACAAACTAATCCTCCACAGTGCCCCTCTGAGAGAGAGCAGGTTACACAATATGTGCCACCCACAGCAGTGCTTCTCGAGGTGATAATTTCCCCTGCTGTCAGATAACAGCATGATTTGACCACGATATTAATTAAAACCAGAGGTGGTGGGATCAGACCTGCTGTACCTCAAAGACAGAGCTGCAAACCTAGGCCAAAGAGCCACTCATATACCCTGTTCCCCTGCAAGTTGTATTTGTTGCTGACGCCCTGGCCCAAATTCACCACACAGAAGTAAAGGCTGAGCAATGAAATGGGAGTCCTGCACTTCCCTGGCCCATTGCTGAAGGGAATTGTGAGGAAAAGCCTCCTGACTGCTGTGTGTGCTTGGTACTTGCCAGGGAACTCGTGGTGAATTGCTCAACCTCTGATGGCCATGTGTCCTCCCAGTGGAGAACTGCTGCAGCAGGTCACAGGTGAGCCATTCAGCACCCCCAGGCCTCCATGGGGCCTGAGGACAAGGTGTCAGAGCAGGTAGAAGTGCTAAACCCTCTGCACACATCAACACACCAGCTTGTGCCACCAGGCTGCAGTTCAGCTGTGTTTCAGACAAAAATGTCTTGGGGGGATACAAGACAGTGAAACTCAGTGAAACTCCCCCACATTTGCTGGGACGTATTCTCTAGCACATAAATAAAGCAGAGAAAGCCTGTCTCTCATCTCCTATGACTCTCTTGTCTCTCAGTGCCTGGTGTAACCTCAGACAGCAATTTCCAGCTTTTACTGAGTCTTGGAAACCCTGATTTAGTTAAATGTCTGGAGGGCCTTTGATGACAGAGCCACGGTGAACTAGAGAACACCAGGTGGGCAGATCAGCTGGTTCTATTTCTGATTTGGATTTTGCTTTTCATACAAAGACAGACCTTTCCCAAGGTCCAGAACATGTGAACTTTATCTGTGGTATGTGTGCAAGAAGATATGCAACGCTAATAAATCTGAAAGCAAAAGCCTAACTCATTTTGTTTTGGTACAGAGTCAATTTGCCTTATCTTTAGGAACTAATTAAATAAAGCAGTTTTCACTACTTTTTTGTTAGTACCTACTGGTTCAGTGATGCATTTTCCTTCATAGGAATAACATCATCAAGATGTGACTGAGACCATACGATTAAATAAAACCCATCAATTTGTCTTAACACAACACATTACCCCATGTAGTAATTGTTCATTCTCTTCAACTAATCCAGTTGCTGAAGAGGATTTTTACAGCAAACCAAAGACTTTGGGGAATACTTCAGCAATCCAATGCTTATTAACAGTTATCCAATCACACTGCTGGCATAACCAAGCCAGTCTGCAAAACAAAGAGCCAATCCTCACTAAGCAGGGTGCTGGTGAGCCCCAGGAAGCTCTGGCAAACAAATAACAACTCAAAACAGGACATTATGTTTTTTAAGTTATTTATTTTTGGGTTTGCCCTCTCCTGCTCATTGCACCTAGAAGCAAAGGGCCCTGGTAGGGATTACTTTTCAAGTCCACATTTTGGTCTCATGTACACAAGGTAAACACAGTGTCAGCCTGCAAACATGAGCTGAGCATCCTTGTCCAGGTAACTCACCACAGTCAACACCAAAAGCAGGTGCTAATCCCTTTGAATTCCACAGAGGTTCACACATTAGCAGTGTCAGAGAATCACAGCATTGTTACCGTTGTAGAAGTCCTCTAAGATCAGTGAATTCATTGACCCAGAGTCATCGTGTTCACCACCAACCCTTGCCCCCAGGTGCCACATTCACATGACTATTGAGCACTTCCAGAGGTGGGGACTCCACCACTTCCCTGAGTGCCTCTTCCAAAGCCAGACCACACTTTCTGTGAAGAAAATTCCCCCAATACCCAACCTAAACCTCTCCTGGAACAGTTAAAGGCCATTTCCTTTTGTCCAGTCCCTTGTTCCTGGGGAGCAGAGCCTGACCCCCACCTGGCTGCCCCCTCCTATCAGGGAATTGTGGAGAGCCAGAAGGTCTCTTAGTGAGTACTCTGCTAGCACATCTTCTCCCTCTTTTCCAAGCCACACGTGTGGTCCTAGATCACATTTACATTGAAACCAACAAGCATAAACATTGCCCATAAGGTACTTCAAGAAAATTGGATTCACTGATTTAATCTGGTTTTTGCCTGGATAGCAATGTCTGCCACAGCGGAGACTAATCCATGACTAAAACCAAGACCTGATACCACATTCCAGCTTTTGTTTTCACTCCCCAGTACAAGGGCAGAGCTGACATTTTCATTAGCCAAGCTTTGGGGACATTTCCACAGCAAAGACAATGAGGATATAAAGTGTGCCTATCGTGCTCCAGAGCCACTAAGTGACTCCATGATCCTTGTTCCCCATCACCTGCCCAGTGGTGCCCACATGAAGGCAACGTTTCTCTGGGATCAGCAAGGCAGAGGCTTTCTTTCAGCTCAATGAACTCAAGTTTTGGTCCTCATATCATAGAAGGATTCTCCTCCCCCATTGCTATACTTTGATTTTGCAGGAAGAGAGATTAGCCAGATCTTGGATGGTTTTATGGCTTACCCTCCATGTCCAAACACTTGCCTTCTCCAGCCCAGGAGATAATCACAAAATCCCAGAATTAAGGTTGGAAGAACCACTGGAGATCATCTAGTCCAACCCTCCTGCTCAGACAGGGTCCCTAGAACACATTACTCAGGATTGTGTCCAACTTTTTCATATCCCCAGGGAAGATTTTCAGGGAAGTCGACAGAGGCAATACAGTCCTCACCAACCCTAGAGAGGCTTTTGTGCCAAGGCCAGCCTGGAAACAGCTGTGGCTGTGCCCAGCCTCTGGTTGGGATGAGAGCGCCAGCCTCCTGTGTGAGATTCATTGACATGCTCCTGGTGCCTTGAATCATTCCAGTTGCTCCTATCTGGAGCTGTGGAGGACTGATTGCCCTGGGATCACTGTCAGGCTGCCCACCAGCCAAAAATCATTTTGTTGTCCTGACAGCGCTTCCTTCCATTTAAATGCTGTTGCTGTAGCAGATGATGACAGCTCAGAGCAACATCAGATTAGCAGCTCTGAGATGAGCGATGCATCACATCTGTGTCAGCAAAGCAGGTGACTTACTCCAGTTTTAGGCAGTTTTCCTTTCACAGGTTGAGCCCAAATGTCCTCAAAATGCCTCCATACCCACCTAAGCTCTCAGCATGAACAGCCCTTGTTGCCTTACACTCAGCTAAGCCACAAAGATAGCTAATGCCTGAATTGAGATACTCCAGGACTAAAAGGTGCCTTGCAAGCCTCAAAGTCTGTGATAACAGATAGAGGCAGAGACAGGATCTGCTGGAGAAATGAATCATGTCTTGGGCAAGCCAGGCTATCTGTGGGGTGGGAAAGAGAGCTGGGTGATTCTCTAGCATAACTGGGGACAAGTGTGACCCAAAAGAGG